ACTTTGAAAAAAAGGTTTTGGATCATGACTCCCAGAACTCCCAATGAACATGACCAGTGGTCATGCAGCTGTTGGATTGATACAACCATAGAGATGGAAGTGACCTAAAGAGTCATCTTGCTCAATCCCTTGCCAGTGCAGGAATACATAGCTAAAGCTTTCTGACAGATGGCCATCCAATCACTATTCAAAAAGCCTCCAGTGAAGAGTCCAGCACCCTCTGAGGAACTCCATTCCACTGTCAAATAGCTCTTACCATTCTTTCTAATGTTCAGTCAGAATGTCTTTTCTTGTCATTTAAATCTATTGGTTCAGTCCCCATCTCAAAACAGGAGAAAATAAGCTTGTTCCTAGTAATGTGAAATGACAGAATAATTCTTCTCATGGTCCCTCAAAATGGGCAGAGCTCACTCATTCAAATCAGGGGCAGGAAATTCCTTTTGAAGTTCATTGTTTGGGAAGTTTTATAGTTTAATGTTTTATTGCATCACTGCAATAAAACAGAAGGGTGCATTTTCACATTGTGAAAAGTCTAACAAGTAACAAGGAAACTGTCTTGCCAATTAGCTGCTGAAATTATATGTTGTTTTTGCAATGACTGGATTCAAATTTGTCAACACTAAAACAGGAAATGTCACACAAAGGAGGGGGAAGATTATGTGAGAACCAGTGTGGCATAGTGGCTTGAATGTTGACTATGACCCTGAAGACCAGGGTTTGATTCCCAGCTAATCTATGTAAACCCACTGGGTGACCTTGGGCAAGTCACAGTCTCTCAGAGGAAGACAATGGCAAACCTCCTCTGAACAAACAAACAAACAAAAAAAAAAACCCCATGACTTGAAGGCACATAACAAACAACAAAAAAGTAATTGAAATGATGAGATGTCAAGAGTAATCAATTTAAGCTTTGTTGTTGTTGTTGTTGTGTACCTTCAACTCATATCCAACATATGGTAACCTTAAGGCTAAGAGTGTGTAACTCGCCCAAGCTCATCCAGTGGGTTTTCATGGCAGAGTGGGGAATTGAACCTTGGTCTACAGAGTCATTGTCCAATGCTCAAACCACAAGAGTAGATGAATAAAAAACTAATTTGTATATAGCATTGTCTATAATAGCCAATATAACAAGCACAGAGGAATTGCACAGAGAATTTCTTCCTCTGATAGAATTCACAGTTTACATTTGGTAGCTAATGTTATTGGCAAGAGAAATACCAGTTAACACAATTCTGCCTGCTAGGAGCAAATCTGACTCTCACATCCTCCTGCATATATTCATGACAAATATAGTTCTAAAGAGAGATTCGGCTCACTTATAATATCACAACTTTGCAAGCCAGGATTTAACAGAGTTGCAGAGTTACCAAAATATCTGCATAAACTCTTCCATCTGTGAGTTCTGTGTGATCTTACTTTTTAAATAATCATTATTATATATCCCTTTTTCATCAACTGATTGTAGCTTTATTCCTACTGCTGAAGAGTATGCTATTTGGCTGATGAAAAATGAAGTATTCCAAGTGGATTTTAACAAGGCAGAACACAAGTGTCAAAAGCTCCTAGACATCTTTGTATCTACAATTATATTTCATTTGCCCAGAGAAATTTATTTTCATTATCAATTGACATATTGTTGTGTAGTTAATAAAAAGCAGTTTTGTGAATTAACATGAGTGTTCCCTTTGTTGTCTTTCCCACAGCTTGAAATGTATATTGTAAGTTTGTTGGGATGATTGTTGTTGTTGTGTGGCTTCAAGTCATTTCCAACTTATGGCAATCATAAGGTGAACCTATCATGTGGTTTTCTGGGGCTGGGAGTGTGGGACTCACCCAGGGTCACCTGGTGCATTTCCATGGCTGATTGGAGAATTGAATCCTGATCTCCAAAGTCCTATCCTATGCTCAAACCACTACACCATGCTGGATAGGGATCTGTTCTTTTTGCCTATGAAATTCTGTAAAGCATTGAAGGAGCTGTAGAAATACTACTGACTACTTAGTACTATTACTATATATAGCAGAAATAAGAACAATTTAGGTCAATTTAATGGGTATATCTATTGCATGTATCCATGTTCTGTTACATGATAGTCCTGCAGACTTCTATCTTCAAGACTGCCATAAAGTCTAAATTCCCCATGTGCACTAGATTCCATAGTGTTAAGGCTCTTAAATGTATTGAAAAGGAGTTATTTCATCACAGTCATATCAAATTCTTTCTCTGACAGTATGTCTTTCAGTTGCCAGAGAAAATAAAAGTGTGGATTATTTCAGGGAAGCTGGTAATCAGGGATGCCTGACTGCAGCAGCAGTACTCACAACAACAGAAGAAGAATGGCCCTAAATGCTGGTGCAGATTAATAGATATTGTCACAATGGTGTATTGAGTGGGAGGTAGCAACTAGGGCAGCCCATGAAGTGCAGGGAGTGATTCATTCATGGAGCATGGTAAACTGTGAATCACTGCTCAGCTTTGTGATTACCACATAAGCAAGCTAAATGCTCCCATTTGGGGCCACTCATTTCCAAAACCAGAAGCTAGTAAGTGTCATGATCAGTCTAGTGAGTATGACAGAATTAAATTAAATTAATCTCCCTTCTTCTTGTCAGATCTATGACAGTCAGCCCAGCAAAGCCATTTAAGAGCAATTGCACATTACTGTTGATAACACTCACAGGAGGAATACTTAATTGTCATCTGTTTTATTGATCTATCACAGAGCCATAATGGGTGGAATGGATTTCAGAACCCTGTCTAAATTCTTCCCCTACATCTGTTTCCTCTCACACAGAGAGGGCAGCTTTACAGTAATCAGCCATCCAAGGAGAGAACACCTTCTCTTTCAACTGTAAGATCAGAAACACCATTGACTTCATAGCAGATATTTGAGAAAGTAATTGTAAGGCTGCAATTAGAAGGCACACAGTGGCCAGTTTCCAATGAAGTCATTGCATTGGGGATGAACCAAATATTCAATCATGTTCAAATATAGTGAAATGTGTGTTCCTCAAATGTCAGGAAACACTGATGAGGAAAATCCTGGACTAATGAAAATCTTTTCTGTTCAAGATTTATGCTGGGCTAAATTCACACTGTCTATTGAGTCATGTTTCTTGTACACAAACATACTAGCAGATGTTTTCTCCCTCCACCCCACCCACCACAATAGTAGCATCATCATGGATCTAGGAAATATACCTAGGACAGTGGCACTGCAGACTGCTAGACTGCAGTGCCACAGTATTCTGCATTACTGATGATTCTGGCTGGGGTTGATGGGAATTCCTATCCCATACTAATTAATCCACAGTTTGTGTTTTGTTATAACTGCCAACATTAGATACTTATTCAACAAATGCTATCAAACTGTAATAAATCTGATACTGCCACAGTAGGTAAAAATTCTACCCTAAAAAAAAAACCTATCCATTAATAAAAGTACATAAAATGAATCAGTCAATAAATCCATGACATCAGGTAGGCTGTTGGTGTCTATATATTTGCCTTTATCAGCGTAGCACTCTATGATACCGCATGTCTCTCCTGATATGTTATTGTTGTTAAAATACTACCTGCCAGCTGGTCATGTTGCATACAAGAGCACCCCCTTCTAGACACACATGATGTGTTGTTACCCCAATGTCAGGCCTCCAATCACCTTTCATATTTTATATCAATTTAATATTAAAAAGGATGCTGGGGTGGGTAACCTGGAAAGGCAACCCCAATGCAGAAACCTGACCATACCATATTTGGAAATCTGGTTGGCTCTAGCAAGGGAGGAAGCAAAGACACCCACCACAATGAGACCACCCCAAGACATCAGCATAATTTGTCTATGAAGGGTGATGATGGGATTCTGACTGAAGAAGATGGCTATGCATACACAAACAAAGAACACTTCTCTAGAAGTAGAAATTTCTCTTTGTCTGAGATATTCATGCCAATTGTCCAAACATTTCCTCCATCTCCCAACCATTCTTCTCTCTTGGAAAACCATTTAGCAGTGATCCATTCATTTTGAGATTACTGCTCTGGGATATGATTTTGAGTATATATACCACCACCCAGACAATAGCAATTTGGTCTAGTTTGGGATTAGGCAGACACTCTGTTTATTCTACTAGGTTCCTTAATAAGCAGGCAACCCTACTTGCCAAGGCAGCTATTGAGCCATCTCCATTCCAGATGCCCAGAACCACACATCAGGATTGGTACTGTTATTACCATTAATAAAGCCTCTGCTTTCCCATTCCCCCACCTTTGCTTCGTTAGTTCTTGTGTGTGTGCATGAGTGTCTACTTATGTGTGTGTTGCTTATTTTCTTAATAAAACTACAAAACCTATTTGGAATTGCCTCTGGAGTTCTGTGTGATTTGGAACCAGTATAAAAAGAGTTAAGATCCCAAGGCTGAAAACTGTCTCACCCAAGATATTTCATTTGAGCTTTTAAAATTTCCCTAAAACATATTAATCTGTGGTTGTCTTCTCAGGACCCCAGGTTTTGGGTAACAGTGGGTCTCCATTTCCCCAGGGTGCCATATTAAACCAGAGGCATTTCCACTGCAGAGAAGAAAAAGAGATGTGTCCTGTGATTTGACTGTAGTTTTATTGGCATACCATGTAAAAACCATGTATATTTAAGCCAGGGGTAGGCAACCTTTCCCCTTTAAGGGCCGAGGGACTTCAGCTCCCAGAATCCCAGGAGCTATTGGCCAACATGGGACTATTGGCCAACATGGCTGAGGCTTCTGGGAGCTGAAGTCCCTTGGCCCTTAAAGGGAAAAGGTTGCCTACCCCTGATTTAAGCAAATCTATACTTTAGATCAGGGGTAGGCAACCGTTCCCCTTTAAGGGCCAAGGGACTTCAGCTCCCAGAAGCCTCAGCCATGTTGGCCAATAGTCCCATGTTGGCCAATAGCTCCTGGGATTCTGGGAGCTGAAGTCCCTCGGCCCTTAAAGAGGAAAGGTTGCCTACCCCTGCTTTAGATCATGAGCCAGTGTGGTGTAGTGGTTTGTTTGTTGGACTACAACTCTGGAGACCAGGGTTCAATTCTCTATTTGGCTATGAAAACCTATTGGATGACCTTGGGGAAGTCACATACTTTCACCTTCAAAGGATGGCAACACAAATTGGAACTAGATTAGCGGAGTCCCATCCTCATGAGTGAAAAGAGGGCTTGTGGTCTGCAAGCAGGATGCCAGGTATCTGCATAAGGTCTGGACAAGGCACAAGCAGAAGCCATGGATCCTTCTCAGCACGATATTGGACCCCTTCCCCAACTGGTCACACTTAGACCTGTGAAGAACTAAAGACACAGTGTTTCCCACAAAAGAGACATCCTCCCTCTATAGTGAACACTTAGTCCCATCTGACTTGGAGGAGAGAATCAGCTCACCCATCCACAGTGCCCCAAAGAAGGCAATGACAAAGGCTGCTCTGAAAAGGCATGCCTCAGCTCTGGAGTGGCAGACTGGCTTAAGCTGCAAGGAGAACTGAGAAGCAGTTTGAAACAAATAGACTTCCTCCCATCCTTTTTGCTAAGAGATGTCCTCCTCCAGCCCTCCAGTACCCTCCTGACTAAGAAGAATGCACAAGGATACCAGAACCCTCCATTCTTGGAGAAAAAGCAAATATCCACCAGGTAGACTAAAATGGTGCAAGGGGCCATGCCGGACTCCCTCAACCATACAAGGAATTGGAGGATGGTGCTGGATTGGCCCAGCCAGTGTACCCTGAGTCCAGATGCCCCCCAAAAGGCAAAAAGGTTGGAAACAGCCCTCCTGTATGCTCTGAGGGTGGCAAGGGTCAGCGAAGACAGGATGCCCTGAATCACAGCAAGTTTCCAACCTCCTACAGTTCCTCTGGGAAAGGCATGAGTGAGAGGTCTGCTCCAGGCACCAACATTTGGAATCTGGCATCCTGAAGATGAGAAAGAGAATCTGCAATGTTGTTTTCCAGGCTGGGCACAAAATGGGCCTTGAACATAGTATTGTTGCAGAGGCATCGCAAAACAAAACAGTGAATCAGGAGCATGACCCAATCAGATTTGGAGGGTTGGTGGTTGAGGACACTGACCACTGCCTGGCTGTCACACAAAAACAAACTGCTTTGTTGGCAAATGTTTCCTTCCACATGTGCACTGTTACCAAAAGGAAGTAGAACTCTAGAAACATGAGATCTCTAAGGATGTCTCCCTGCCCCAAGTGAGTGGGCCAGTGTTGGGCTCACCAGTGACCCTGTGAAAAAAACCAAAAGCCAAGGCTCCAAGTAGCATCAGAATGGACCTGCAGGATTTGTCCCAAGTCCTAAGAGCATTGCCACAGGGACACACCATTGAATTCTCTGAGGAACTCCTCCCACAATCTGAGGTCCTCCTTGATGCCCTTGGTGAGGCAGATGTGGTGATGCACTGCCCTGACCTCTGCTGTGACCCTGACCAGAGGTGTGCAGAAAGTTCTGCCCAGGGAAAGCACCCTGCATCAAAACTGAGGTGTCCCAGGAGGGCCTTTATCTTTCTTAATGTGGCTTTCTGGGCTGAGAGAGTGACCTGGATCATGGAGAGGAGGGAGCAGAGATTGTCGTCTGGCAGATGAGAGACACTTGCCACCGAATCCAACTGGATTCCCAGGTAGGTGAAAGAAGTGGTAGGGCCCTCAGTCTTTTCTGCTGTGAGTGGGACCCCAAGTTCAGCTGTCAAGGCCTGAAAAGTGCATGGGAGCTTGGTGCAACCCTGACTACCAGCCTCCCCGATGAAAAGAAAGTCATCCAGGCAAAGTGTAACCAAAGGGGACATAGCACAGCCTTTCACTTCCCACTCCAGGAAGGAACTGAAGGTTTCAAAAGGCATGCAGCTGATGGAGAAGCCCATGGACATGGCTTTGTCAATATACCATTGCCCTTCAAATTTGAAACCCAGGAGGCAAAAGTGATCAAGGTAGACAGGAAGCAGTCAGAATGCTGACTGGTTATCACACTTGGCCAGGAGGGCTTCCCGCCCACATGCCCTAGCGAGCCAGACAGCATAGTAAAAGGAAGTGCAATGCACTGAGCAGAGCTCAAGGCAGATGGCATCATTGACAGATGTGCAGGGGTGTATGAGAGGTAGTGTATGAGGCAAAATTCATCTGGCACTTTCTTGGGAACCACATCTGGGAGGGAAACTCTTACATTGGGCAATGGGGGAGGCAAAGGAACCCACCACCCTGCCCACCTCATACTCCTTCATGATTTTGTTCTTGAGGACCTGTGGCATGTTGCAGAATGGCATAAGGTTAGGGACATCAGAGGCCACCCTTGGGCCCATAGCAGGGATTCTGAAACCCTGGGTGAAGCATTCCACCAAGAAGGTGACCACCTTCTTGTCAGGATAGTGAGTGAGGAGTGGCAGCAAGGTGGAAGGGCACACAGGGGTGGGAGTGAAGCTGAAAGATGTCCGGGCAGCCTCAGCAGACTCATTTTGGACCCCCTAGTCTTCTGGTTCCAGAGCCAGAGACTCCCTCCTTCTTTCCAGAGGCTGCTGGGATGGGGCGTCCTGGGCAAAAGGTGGCTGGGCACCATCTGGATGCAAGCATGCCAGCTTGGCACGTGGGCCCCAGCAGATCTCACAGCAATGCTCAAATTTGCAGTGGGCTCAGACATATTTTCCCAAGTTAATCTCCCAACACAACAGATTGTGAGGGTCCTTTTCCCCAGCCCACTTTGATGTTTGTGAGGGTTCTCTCTTTTCACTGATGTGGGGCCCCACCTCAACCAGCCAGATTGAATTGTTGATGAGGTCCCACCTGGCATTGCTGTTTTGGGATGCACCCTTGCAGAAGGGTGTCATGCATGATGGCAATTGCCTCCCCAGCAATATCCCAGGCCTTTATCACATTGCCCAATTGATTGGCCAAGTGTCAGCCCCACTCAGGATAGTCCAAGAGAACCACCTCCATGAAAATGGAGTAGCCCAACACCCAATTGATGGTAAACCAAGCTGGCACATTTGCCTTCTTTATTCCCTTTTCCAGCATGGTTGTGGCTGTTAAGGCTGCTGCCAAGGCCTGACCAAAAAAAGGACTGGACTGCAAGTGGGTGTCACTGCCAGTTGGAGGGATGCAAGGTCTGGCCAGTTGTGGGGTGGGGGGTCAGAAGCTACCCTGGCAATGGCCTGATACATCCCTCTTCCTGGGGGGCAATGCGGGGCTGAATGCAGCCTGACCTGCAGTGTGTCTGGGTTGGAGGCAAGCTTGGGCTATCCACTCATGTCAGTTCAGCTTGCCTGCCACTCAAGCCTCTCTGCCTTCACCTTGGCCACTGCTTCTGCACTGGTCCTGAGCTCTCATTGGGGAGCTCTTCTCTTCCAGAGAGCCAGGCTAGAATGGTGCCATGTGCTCCAGCCACACGGCCTTAACAACCCAATAAAAGTAGGAGGTGGGTGGAAATCCTATTCCCTCCCAGCCTCCCACCCAATCAGGGAGGCCACCATCCAGGGCAAAGGGGTGGGGCTTCTGGCTGCAAAGCCCGCTAGGACTTGTAGTCCTGAGTGACTACTGAAGGTCTTGCACACCCAGCAGCCCGGCCAGCCCCTGAATCCAAGCCCCTGAAAGACACTCCCATTGCCTCCTGAGAGCCAGCCACCCTCCTGGCTGGGCCAATGAGCCCCCTGCACTCCAGATGCCTCCCTCCCCAGCAATCATTCCACCAGGTTTCAGTGATGCCTATTATATCATATTTACTCTGTTCAAGTTCATTTTGCTTATTTTTCATGCTCTCTGCAATAGTGTATACACATATAAGACCAAGGGTTATTACCTCTATCTACATATTTAAGCTGAAACTGTTGTGCATTGAGAATGCATGTTACTGACACACATCTCTCTGCTCAAAACAAAGGTGGTAAACCACTTTCAGTCTGAGGGACAAGTTCATTATCAATGAAATTCTTTCAGGGAACATTCCATTAGTGAGAAGGATCAAAGGCAAAAAGCATGGGACCAAAAAGCACCAGCATATTTTAGCTGTAATCTCTTATCATCAGTAATTAACCCTTGGGAGAAGTATTTCAACTTTTTAGGACAAGAACAAAATCTGGGAAATGATGGTGTCTTGGGGAAAGATCCATGTCCATCCGTAGATCCCCAAAGAGTTTGTGTTGGTACCACAGGAGGCCACAGATTGCTCAGCTCAGTTTAATGATAGCGAATGGCCATTTTGCATATTTGAAGAACTGAATTTAGAACATTTGCTGGCATGACCTAGCATATGAGTACGGTTAACTTGGGGTGGGGCTGTGCTCATGCATTAAAATCTTCCCATTCCACCAACAACAACATGCCCACAAGGTTTCCAAAATGTGCTGAACAAGCTCTTGGGAACAAGCTCTTGGGCTCCTCACCTGCACAAGCTTCCATTCAGATGAGGCTTCCCTCATCTTTCCTGCCCTCTTCCCACCTGCCTTTAGCTTTCATTTTCTTTTTCACTTCATTTTTAAAAACCCTGAATAACTTTCAGTCTCAAATATAAATTTTAGTAAATTCTTTTAAAATGAACAAAAATGTTATCATCCCTGGCTTCCTATCTGCACTACATATATTCTCAGTACATGTTGTATCTGCTTGCTATATTCCTGTTAAAGATGAGAAATCTGTAAGAAAAAATAAACATGCAGCCCTAATTCCTTACTAGCATGGCTAAATGCATGCACAGATTCAAATCTACAATTCTAAGAGCTAAGCTTACAAACTTCCAAGCCTGGAGAGATGAATCTATTAATATTGGCTGTTATTCATTTTTGGTGTTACGAAATTTGTAACCTAACAGATTATCAGATTATACTATGGCATAATTGCATGAAAGTGCTAAAGATTTTAAGACTTATTGCGCTCATCCAAAACTTATCCCATGAAGATTCAGTAATGTTCCTGCAACTATACCATTCCTGTGACTTTCTCGAGGAGCGTTTGTTGTGGAGCATTCCTGGATCTTCATGGGATAAGTCCTGGATGAGTGCGATGTCATCTGAAAATCTTCAGAACAATCGTGCAATTATGCCATGAGTATGGCTTTTATTCCTGGCTCACCA